AGAGCCCTAAACATTGTAATGGGCATTGTTTCAGGAGGTCTGCGGTCAACTCGTTAGCAAATGCTGGCGCAAATATGACAATGATGAAAAGGCATGGGGGTTGGCGTTCCATATCTGTTGCAGAAAAGTATATTGAAAAGTCAATCGAAAATAAAATTCAAATTGTCAAGCAAATTAGCGCGGGAAATCGGGAAGACGCTAGATGTAGTACTCATTTATTCGATGAATCGTGTAATTTTTTTTTTCCAATAACGCTGATTTGAATGTTTCTTCGATTTCGAATAGCTCATTTCAGAATTGTTTTAATATTAGTATTTTCAATAAATATGTAGTTAAAATAAAAAAAAAAACTGATCTGACATTTTATAGCGAATTATATAGTATTGCCATGGTTTTTTCTTAACATTCGAGGTGAATGTTAAGAGTCCTACTTAATCATCCCCAGCATGCATGTTAAGAGAGTTTAACAAGTAAGTGAACGATATATCTTTTTTTCAATACGTCAATAAGTTTGTAGTTTTGTACCTAAATCATGGACTAAGAATTTTTCCGAAAACATTGTAGAGAGAATAAACAGCGAAAAATCAAATTTACAGGAAGAGATCAAAAATCCCTTACGAAGAAGACTACCGTCGGTTGGGTAAGTAGCGAGAAGGCGATAAGTTCAAGGGTACTACTACGCTGGAGAAATTTGTTTGCTTACTTATCTCCTTCATCCTATATCGCGTCCTATTATTACCATCACTACGCAATTTGTTATCATTATCGCGTTGTTTTCTTTGACAATCCGCTAGTACTTAATATGTCCAGGAATTTTACAATAGTGACAAAATTTTGATCCAGAACCTTGACTAAAATTATTATTAATAAAATGATTAGGTACTCTCTTAGACGACTGCGATTTAGAAAATATTCTGTTGCTATACTGAATATGATGTACGTGTAATAATAAGTTAGGATTATTAAATTTATTCCCGCAATTAGCTATACTATGTCCCGATTCTCGACAATAATTACAAAATTGACCAGAAAGTGAACTACTGCGAAATTTTTGGGTTTCAATTTTAGATTTTATTCCTTGTTCTTCATTAATTGCCGTTGAAATCAGGTTTTTGTGCTTTTACTAATAATGCTAACTCTTTGGTTAGTCCCGCTACGAAGATATTTTATGTCTGACTTTTAAAAAGATCAACACAGGCCTTGTGAGCATCAGCTGCAAGGGATGAGCCACTGAGTGAATTAATACATTTATTAATGCAACAATATCTTGCTTAATGAGATGATGCCTAAACTGACATAAATAATGATATTTTAATTTTCACAAGTAAGGTACTCAGCACTTATAAACGAGAGAAAGACAATACATTGTACTTGACATAGTGGACAGTTAATGCATGGAAAAATATTGACGATACGAATACATTACAATAAATTGAAGAATGAAATTTTAAGTTCACATTAAGTCAAATTTCATTTCCAGTTTTTTTTTTTTAAGCTAACCGTACTGTTCACAAACAGAATGAACGAAGCGAATTTTCGCCAACGTGGCCGAAAAACAGTGTTGTGGCTGTTTTCCCCAACGTTTTTAGTTTTTGAGAAGTGTAGTACTCCAGGTGAGAGCATGGTATGAAACCACAGGGCGGCACACATTTTTTTTAATCAAAATAAATTTATTAAAATTAATCACTCTTTCATTTTGCATTGATCAAATTAAGAACGACCCACCCCATTTTCTCGAAAATACGCTCATTTTTATTTGATAATGTTAAAATAAGAATTATAATATTCGGAACTTTTTGCGAGATTGTGGTTTAATTAATAATTTTAGTCGTCTGTTTTAAAACAAACTCATGCAAATCAAACTAATTTCTACGTGACATTCTTTCGATGTATAAACATAAACACTTGAAGTTAAGCTTGTTATTATCTGTATAACCGTGTAAGATAGGTTTATACTTAACATACATATGTTTGTCTATATTTTTTTTATATTTGGGGTTTAATAGTATGCAGTTAAAAGTTTCATGCCAATTTGGGGCTCGCAAAAATATATATTTCCCATCGACTGGGGAATGGTCTATGTGCTTTCTCACGGCTACTAATATCTGGTGGCACAGGGATGTTTTGCTTGAGTACAGTTTCGCAGTCGCAGGCAAAAAAATCCACATCTGTGCCTCAGAAAGTATATCTATTAATTGGGGTTGATTGGCTGGCTGGCTGTGTTTCTTTTCGAGAGGGTTTAACTAAAAAGGCCTGGATAAATATTTCAATCTAAAAACGGACGCAAATCGAACAACACGAGTTACAATCCCGCGATCGAGTGATTGAAAAGGTGTTGAGGTGAGTGTTATCACTGAGTTATCGGGATTTGTCGGATATACTTCAAGAGCAAGGCAAGTTCTGTCGAAATAACCTTTGCACGTTTGCTCTAGATTTTCCAAACACATATCTACAATTTTTGATCAAGTATCATGGTATTAAATCATCGTCAACAGGTAGTTTATTAAGAACTTTACTCATACTCATCACAACTTGATCTTCAGATAACGCATTAGGTAACATTAAAAGACGGGATATACGAGGTAAGCGCCAAATATTCTCGGCCTGATATATTTGCGATTGCTCGTCGGGAAATTTGTACAACTCATAAAAGACTAGAGGGTCCCCGCAGTATGTGTGTAAAATTTCAAGCGCCACTGCCCATTAGTTTTGATACATTTGAGGAGTAATATTTGAAAAATTATGGACTCATCATGCCTGTTTAAAATTGAAAATCGAACGGCAATCAAATTCTTATCAAAAGATGGAATTGCTCTAAAGGGTATTAAGGACAGGATGGTTTTTGTGTTTGCTGAAGCTTGTCCTTCACATTTTACTAAAAAAAATGATCACAGTTATTTCGCATGGGGTAAGAAACCCTTGAAGACGAACCAATCTTCCAAAAAAATCATGGCCACAATTTTTTGGGACTGTAAAGGAATGTTGTTGATTAATTTTAAAGGATGAAGTACCACTGTCAACGCTACATATTATGCTTACTTACTGCATAAATTAGGAGAACGTATTTGGGAAAAAAGGCCGAGAAAATTAACAAGAGGCGTTCGATTGCTTCATGAAAATGCGCCCGTTCATACCGCATGTCTTTCTCAAGCTGCTATAAGGGCCTGTGACTTCGAGTAACTTGATCACCCACCCTACAGTACTGACTTAGCTTCGAACGATTATTAACTGTTCTCTAAGTTAAAAAACGACTTGCAAGGAAAACGTTTTGGACGGATAAAGAGGTGCAAACGGCAGTACTACATCATTTTAGTGATAAAGATTCAAATAATTTTTTTAAACGCATAGAGCTGTTAGTTGGACGTAGTTTTGAATGTATTGAAGTTAACAGAGATTATGTTGAAATATAAATATTTAATTTTTTTCCATCAGGTCTCTTTCTTTGTTAGGCCGAGAATATTTGGCGCTTACCTCGTATGTAAATTCTTCACCAAGTCACAAAGATGGTACAAAGTTTGAATTAAGAATAATTTTGAGAATTGAATTAACTGTATTTTGTGGACTGTTATAAATAATATGGTCCTGCTTCATGACACTGAGTATTGGACTTTCCTTCTTTTACATGGGTAAGTTTCCAAAAATTTTGCAGGTTACGTTTTAGCTATTCTTCAGCTCGACATGTAAAAGCTTTGTAGGCTGTAAACTCGGTTCACTTTGCACTAACCCTGTCAAATTGCGGATAAAGTTGGATGCCTGTGCATCCTTCTTTGGAGATTTTTTATGTTGATGTTTATATGACTGAAAAGACTTAGCACGTTGTCTCTGCACGTTGTCAGCTTTTTTAAAACGTCAAGTTTTCAAATCATACCTGACAGAAAAAAGAAAAAATTATTAAGGGCAGATGTTATTAGCTCTTATTAATTGCTTCCGTGAGCTGCAGTTATGCAAGAATTGGGTGCAAAGTCAACTGATTCCTGCATTAAATGAATACACGGAAAAATTGTAGTTGTCATGAAAAGCCACCTTATAATTTCAGATAATCACAATGATTTCGATTTAACATGAACAAAAAAGAACAATTGGACTTTAGGAAGCCCTCACTTGAGAGAAGCAAGAAGTAATCGCAGATATGACATAGATGAAATACTGGCCAACGAAGGTTATGATGTATTGCGTTTGCCCCCATACCATTGTCAATACAATCCAGTTAAGATGGTATTGGGATTCTGCGAAACTTATAACAAAAATATACAGTCACATTTCCCTTCCTGTTTTGTTTTTTTACTCGTTTTTTGTATTCTACTCACTTTGTTTAAATTTTCAACATGATTTCTACTTACCTTTCGTTTTCAAAGCTTTTTATATTTATGGCTATTTTCTCGTGGTGTCTGCTTAGGGGTTGATTCACAGTGGGGACCGAGAAAAGTCTTTTCGTGTACAAAACCTTTCTGCGCATGCTTAAATGTAAGTACGTCTGATATTGGAACGATTTACTCGTTCATTTTTTCTAATTTGCATAAAAATAGTTAATCCTAACTAGGTACGTACATACCTACCTTTAAATTTCTCTATAAACATTTTTAATGGGTAAAATAATATTTATTAATTATGATAAAAATTGTTTTACTACACAATTGGTTAACTCTGCTGGGACAAATTGAGTTAAATGTTTCATTCAGATTACGATAGTAGGAATGTTTTTTTCGGAGTGTATAGGTACTGTACAAACCCCCTTTCCCGATGTACTAAATGTACTACCTTTCGGGTTAGCACTCGTCCACAAACTCACCTAAACTTGCCTTCGATGTTAATTGCGCTAACAGACAGAGTCCTCTACAAGTTATTTAATCCTCCTACTTGGTTTTCTCTACGTATCAGATTATTATGAATAATTTACAATGAATTATGAACACTGTAAAAACTTATGGTGATTAGGTTAACTAATTTACGGTGAAGACAAGAACTTATCTGAGCACTTCCCATGTTCTGATATATTTTAGTGGCGGAATCCCGTGAAGGTGGTGTCCTGGCTGTTCACTTCCAGTACAACTGATTCCCGTCTCGTTCTCTGCTACTATCTCATGCGAATAGATGACAATTAGCAAGACAATGCCAATTATTCGTGGAACGTTACCTACATAGATCAATGCTTGAGCAGTGCGCACAATAAACTCAGATGAACTGGTACACAAAGAATATTTCTGGCTCTCTTTAACATCGAAGATTTCGTACTTGAAGGAACAATATAGTGAAATAGGTAACACCAAAAAATATCTTTTCCAAACACGACTAGTTACGTGGTCTTATTATTTTTAGGAAACAACAGAGACGCTGTGCCACTGCAATTCGGTTGAGCTATTGATTCCCCTAGGACGTTGCTCTCCATCATAGGCTTTAATCTTACGGTCCTCCTTTGGTGGTCGGTGCAAGGATCTGAACCAGAAAAATATGCGCTATGTGCTGACATTAGATATACTTACCTGCTTTTGAGGGCGGTGTGGTCGGGAGTGGCCGGTCGGTGGGAGCAGTGGGTGGAGTCACACGCCGATTTTGTCGTATTCTATGTTTGTCGTCAAGTAGAGCCCTACCGAGACGCTTGAGTCTTCTTGAGGCTTCCTCGTCGAACTCGTAGTCGACGGCTTCTCGGGCCGAGGGGTTGGGGTATCTTTCAGCTTTCTTGAAGGTGCGAAGTGCAATTTCCTGCAGAAATTGCTTTAAGTTCGGAATGTTGGCCTCCCGAAGAATCTGGTTGTTTCTGACGAACCAGGGAGCCCTGAAAACTTGTCGGAGAATTTTTGTCTGGAGGACTTCCAGACGATGAAATTTGGTTTTGGAAGACTCGTAACTCCAGACTACTGAGGCATAAGAAATTGTGGGGCGAATGATTGTTCCATATGGAAGAAGTTTGTTCTTGATCGACATTGATGAACACTGACCACGCAACTACTATAGTGTTCCTTAGCATTTTTGTTATATTTTTGTTTTATATTTTTTAATGTTTGTTTTTTTATTCTTTCAAAGACTTGGTTTTATAATTACATTTTCTTGAATTTATATTAATAATAATTTAATACTGAAGTTCATTTCTGTTTATTATATTTTCACGCTTCAACTACATTGCAATTGTTATACCAAATTATTCTCCTGTAAACCAAATCTCTTTTGTAAATATAGTAGATGCAAACTAGCACCGGATAGGGAAGATCATAAAAATTAAGTAACAAAGACGACCCTAATCGGATTACAACGTACCGAACTTTATGACACTACCTCTTTTAGCCGGTCTATTCTATTTTCTAAATTTGCAAATACATTTCTACTTAGCTAAATACGTGAGTATAAAAGAATAAAATTTTATTTACAACTTTACAAACACGTATTTAGCTATGTAGAAATATATTTACAAATTTAGAAAATAGAATAGTCTTGCCCTGAGTATCGTTTCTAGGATTTTCTAGGTAAACCAGCCGGCGACCGGCTAAAAGAGGTAGTGTCATAAATTATACATTTAATTTATATTAATATTAATAAATAGTACAATTAGAACAATTAGTAACATTATTAATTAAACTAGGATAATTGTTTTGATTATAACTTTTGGTTAATTCCACATTAACTTTATCAGCAACGGTAGATACACAAGGAGGAAAGTGTTTTTGCCCACAAGCTGGTTAAAACATTTTCTTCCTTGATATCTTATAAACAGGCGTGGATTTACACCTCCTAACATAGTTCTGATATTTATATATTTCACAACAGAGTTGTCAGAAAACAAATATTGTTTCGTCCATTATTGGCTGTAATCGTAAATGCACGGGATCTTCCATATTTTTAGAATTACGAATATTGAGAATAAGTGTTTCCTTATTTTCAATGTCTTCGAGTGTCATTTTGCACAGTTCATCGGTGCGACATGCCCCGCAACTCCTATTATCATAACTACCTACCTAAAATACATAAATTACCTTTCATTGTGTAACGGGTTTTTATTTAATTTTAAATTCCTTACCACGTGGTGTTGATGGAAGCCATCGGAAAAACGGAACAGAAAAAGAGGAGATAAGAACGGGGTGAGGGAGCGGGAGAGTGGGGCCGAGGGAGAGCGAGGAGCTCGGAAAGAAGACGGGCAAGATCGGTGGCTTTTCCACGAGGAATTTCGGGGAGGAGTGACCCAGAACCTGGCACCCGGCGTCTACGGATACCAGTGACAGCACTTGAGAACAGAATCCCTCCCAGGAAGAGTTAGGAACACCCACCGCCTACGCCGAAGAGATAAGAGGTGCCCTTCCGCATTTTAACATAGTGACTGGTGTTTTGTATGTAATTAAGTTAGTAATAGAATTTGTCTTAAAACCCGTAAACGCAGTTTTATTGGGCACTTCGTTCATCGATAATTTGATACATTTCTTTCAACCCTGTAAGAGGGTTACAATATAAATGTAACACTCTTAAAATACCTTAAGAAGTAAATAGGATTCGTCGGGAGCCTCTTCACGAAACCTGTCCATCTCATTTCTATCGAAAACATTGAGTTTTTTTGGTTTGTAACCGTCGTTTTTTCTCTTTAAAAAAGCACGCACTTTTGGATACTTTGAAATATCCGTATTTCCATTCAAAAAAATGGTACTTTTCAAAATACTGTATTCGCATCACAAGCTTGAAGGAGACTTTAGTGTTTTACTCTTCTCATAGAAGTAAGTATGCTATCAATGTTTCGGATGACACGGAATCATCCTTTATCAAACACCAATCCTTAAATAACTTGTATGACAATTCGCACCTTTTCTTCGATTTTTGAGGCAATAAGGACAAGCACGCAACATGAGCTGCATCTTCAACGCTCGAAAAACTCATTTTCGTCTATTTGCACTGTTTTGATTTTTATGTTTGTAAAAAAAACAATTTCAAATTATTTCCATGACAACAAACCACAGTTGACTTTTTTTAAATGACGGACTCGACAAATTCAAACTTATTTTTTCATAAAAAGGTCTAGCGCTCGCTCGAGATTTTCCTCTGTAAAACGTGTTCTTTTTCTTTCAATTTAGAACATGAACGATCCACGTCACAACTAGTTATGGGACCGTTAGCAAATTTTCATATGTATTTTGTTCTAATGTGTGGCTCTGTCATGCCGTCGCAAAACTGATGCAAAGTGTTTACACCGGGAGTGCTACTAAAAACAGATTCTACTTTCATTTTTAACTTCTTCCCAAATTCACCTGGAAGCCTTTTAAATTGGGTCACAACACTTTGAAATTTTGATAAAGCATCATACAACTTTAAAATTTCAGAGTGCAAATAAACTATAGTTTTCGATGAAGCTTGACAATTTTGTGCAATGTTAAATATTATAAAAAAATTATATAAAATGCTGCTTCTATTAAAAATAGAATAAAAAAATCAAAATAAGATTCTTAAAATTGAAAAGTATACTGCAAAACCTCAACACAGATATATACTTATGAATAAAAAGGAACTAAAATGATAAACACATTTTTGTTACTCATTTGCTATTTTACAAATGAATACTGCGCCGACTGCGCCACTTTCAAGCGCTTGATGTGCAAGGAGTACGAGTACTCGACGCCTATGTATAGTGCGTATTGCACCTGAAAAACAAGCGATAAGATTGCGATCCAAATGCAGTGTAGTCGGCCGACGAATTGATCGGCACTGTGCCGCGCTGGTCATGTGCATACATGTGGTGGTCCGCACAGTTCTTGACTCCAAGGTCGCCGCCCTCTGCGTGATAAGCAGTACACGGGATTTTATCTCACCGCTGTAATCCCCCAGTTGCAGTAAAGTGTGTTTTAAGGCGAGTAGCGGGGACGCTTTGATCTGGTCTACAAGGTCGTAGCCAGTGCGTCGCTAGGAGTGTTTACAGCTAGTAAAAAAACTACTTCTATATTACTATATTACTTCAAATAATAATACTCGATGCCCTTTTTAATTTTTCAACCACAGGACCACAGATTTGTGATCTTGAAATGAGACGACACGGTTCATTCTTAATTTTAATTATCGAGAACTGTCATGTGTCAATCTGATCATGTTAAGAAGTACAAACATTTTACTATTACTTCAGAACTTGCATGTGTGCCTTTATCAACACATGGCCGACTCCATTAATCTCTAAAGAGATATGGCCGTTCCAATGGGCGTTTATAAATTGGCTTTCCAAACAATTGAAAAGTTCTCTAAAGTGGTGCCATCTAACAATGGAAATGTTAAAAAAAATACAACCCCGATTGAGTTGCCATATTAAATTTTGACAATTTGTAATTTAATAAAGTCAAATTCAGATCAGGAATGTTTATAACAGAACTCATTTTATTAAATCAAATGGAATAAATAAAAATAACAATGGAAAATTCTAATCATATTAATGTAAGTAGATATACCTGAATACATATGCACTAAATAATAATAAAAAGAAAATTACAACTTTAGAACCTTTCTGCTGACTGGTTTGTGCTGCAACAATTTTGTCTTGACTAAATCTGTGGTTTCAAGACATATGTTGTCCAAAACAGGTTTTACAGTTGTTACAACAAATTTACAAACTAAACGTTTATGTTTTTCACATTTAAATAGAGGGTTCTTCTCTAGGTGAGGAAATATTATGTTCAGTGCAATGTCCGATATTTGTTTCACAACCCCTACAAAACGAGAATTTGGATAAGTTTTAGTCCTCCACTCAAATTAGGATAAAACACCAATGTCAGTAAATAAAGAAATCTGTAATTAAAAATTAATATGCGTAAGGACCACCAGAGTCCAACAGTTTAGGGTCACTTCATGGCATACTTTCCGTACTTGCCAAAAAATACCGAATGGAACGGCCATATCTCTTTAGAGATTAATGGAGTCGGCCATGATCAACATTTGTGTTCAATTCTAACAAACTTGGAAAACTAATTTTTTCTCCTGCGACCAATCGGGCAGTCGGCTTATGACCCCTTCACCTTCATCATCCAAGGGAAAAGGAATGGCGTTGCATCTTGCGGTTCAGTTGTTAAAAATGTTGTTTATTGTCGTACGAATTTAACTGTAATGTTATTTGAAAGCATTATTATTGACTTATTGGAAATGTCTTCCCAAAATTGCCAGCGTTAGAGACCCTATATATACTTTTATTTTCCAAAGTATATCTAGGGACACTAGCCATCGTGTAATCAGATCAACAACAAACGCAACACAAAGCCTGCAGCAGTGATTTAAGTTTATTCAAAATCAAGCGGTGTCGGATTCGGATATGATAGAAATGAAAGCAATACTGTAATAACCCAAACTTCCCGCCTTTAAATTGATCTTGAAAAAGTTTGAAAGGCCCGCGAAAAATTCAAAAATTCAAAATTTGGCCTTGGCTGTGATCGTCTAACAAATGGGAACCTACGTTGTGGTTTTTTTTTTAAGTGGCGGGAAGACGTTCTTTCATACAAGTACATACACTGCGTGTGATTCGAGAGCGCAAGAAATAATAGACAAAATTGTTTTGGAGGAGCTACCACGGTACCCCCTCGCAGGAGGAAAGAAGCTGCGAAGATTTACTCCTCAGCACAAAGACCCCCTTGTTACATTCACGGACATATTACATTTCAAACACCTTAACATATATGAAAAAAAAAAAAACACTCGCGAACCAACAGACATACACATACGAAAAATCAACAAACAAAAAATTCTATAATATCTGTTTCGGATTCATGTAAATAGTTGAATATCACAAATTTAATAAAAACAAAGCAAAATCTGAATTAAGTAACTGGATGCAAATACACAAGTTATTACGGGCGTGTGACGGCAGATTTTAAAGTTACGGCAGTTAACAGGAGCATAACAAAAGTACCCCTGGGGCTTGCTAGCACAAGCGGAGTTTGGGCCTACCGGTCTGGAGCTGTTCTCCCCCCACGACGGTGATTCTATCTATCGCAAAGCCTACCCGCACGCACCTCCATTACGATCATGCTGTGGAAAACTAGGCCATTACGGTCGTCAGACCCACAAGCGGATCTCGGCTAAGGATGGAAGCCGAGAACTTTACAACATCGGCGGCCGCCCCTGAATCTTCAGTGCTTCTGCCACGTTTTCTGTGTCATTTAATCTCAATTCCATTTTTAAATATTCAATCTCTTATAACTCTGATATTAACAACAACTGAACAAATGTTAAAGTTTCACCGAGCAATAAACAACATTTAAATTCGCCATACAATCTTGTGAAATTTTGAACAACAAATAATTTATATGACAGAAACATTCATCAACAAACTAAAGTTGCGATCTTTTCTATAGAACCACTCCCTAGTGTAAATTTTCAAAATTTGTTTGGTGTAAGTGACCTTGACGGGTTTCTGGGGGAAAACATATGTGTCAAAAATTTGACAGGTTAGATGGCCCCATTGTCAATGTAGATATTTTATTTTAATAAATAGATGAACAGAACATACATACAGTCTGCACGGGGTACAGTGCGGCATAACTGAAGGCAACCGAAACATTCGTGTTGTGCTAGTTTCGATTGCCATATCAACTACCGCTACCAACCGCGTTCGGCGTAAAGTACTAGATGACAGAGCTACCAACTTGACTTTTTATCGAATGGTTCCGTAGAAATGACCGCTACTGTATTTACAAAACAAAACTTAGCAAAGACTTATGAAACAAAAGATCTGGTTGTGAAATAAACTTGTGCAAATAAAAATATTGTGTGAGGTTAAAACTGTAGGGCATGAAATTTACGTTCAATTAAAATTATACAACAAAGGAAAATTATTGAGGTTAAAATTGTGAGATTAAAGAAATATTGTATGAGGTGAAAATTTGCAGAGTTAACAAAATTTACATGAGACTAATAATTGCCACACTTTATCAACGATTCAAACAAAGAGTTTACATTATGTCAAATTATATCATGATCTAAGTTATTGGTTACTTCAAAAAAACAATTTACTTTGAGAGTTTAAAATACCGCAAACTGGTTACCCCAACAAAACACATAATAAATAAACACAAAAATATGCAATCATCGCTCCGAGGGAAAAAGCGTCTCGGTGATGTATACTTTAAAATCGTTGCGAGGAAAAAGCGTCTCGATGATGTAAATTTTAAATCGTTGCGAGGAATTGCCTCGACGATGTATATTTTAGCGGTGGAAGGAATAATCCTCGTTGATGTTATTAAGTAATCAATCTGTAGCGTCGTGAGGGCATGCCTCGATAAATTAATCAATCTGTCGGGTTATGAGGGCAGGCCTCGATGCATTAATCAATCTACCGCGTTGCGAGGGCATGTCCCAGTGATGTGATCATGATAACGATGATAATAACGATGATAGCCACCTAAGGAAAGATTTATTTTACCCCCCGCCAGTCCGCAGTATAATGAACTTGTTTAACTGCCGTGTGTGAAGAATTTAGAAGTGTTATAATGTAACACTTACGTATATGCATCCAGAAACCTATTCGTAATTAAACAACAAGGTGTTTTCCTGACTAAGCGAATTTCATGAAATCTTCTAGCAAGTGGTTTATTTAAATAATCCTGATTGTTAAATTGTGTTTGCACTAGCTGACGATTAAGAAAAACTAACTTGATTGGTGAATTTACAAACAAAGAAACAAATTTATAGCACGTGTTTCGCGTTGCACGGAAGTCCGCATTTTTCCGATTAAGGTCGCAAGAAGTAGCCGCGGGGGTGGGGACAACTGTGTCATTACGAAAGCTACGATTCATTGTCGTTAAACAAAGGCTTCCTCCCATTTTATTAACTACCAAACCAACTAATTTAAACTAGCACGTGGTTACACTCACACAAGCACATTCAGACTGACTCTACGCCATGCAGTTTCTGTGTAACCACCAACCCTATAATTAAAATCCCCTAGCGCTATAACTAAAACCTGCAGAACAACATTGGTGCCTGGGGTACTACATGCATTAAATCCAACGTGCATATTTGGTTGCCTATGTTTAACAATTTCTTTTTGTTATTGAATTTTTTTTTCTTTTTCAAATTCAAATTATTCAAGTGTGATTTCGCGCCGCTGTTAATTAATTTCAGCGGGAAAACTTTGATTTAAATTCGGTCACCACAATACTTATTTTATTTCTGCCCATCTGATGTTGTGATAACTCATGTAAGTCTAATAAATCGATAAAAATCTAATTTGTGAACAACTATGTGTCAGGTGACTACCACAAGATTTCATTGTTGAATTGACCTTATTAGACGGCGAGTAAATAGGAGCTGGTGATGCTGATAACCTAACAAAAGTTGAAATTAAAAAAATCTCCCAAGCCCGTCACGAGTATAAACGAGTTTAAATAAGTAATATGTATGGAGCCAGGAGCCAGTGTTGACAGACTTCGATTTGTCATTGGCGCCAACATTCTCTCAAAAAGTAGCCAAAAGTCCCCAACTTTTTTTCACAACAAGTTTGCACGATATTAACGTGCGATCAAAAATAAAACACCTCTAGTTACTACTCGATGCGCAAATGTTTTTTGAACGTATGGCGTAGCTGACATCGTACAATGTGCATCTGTCAGTGTCATCTCGTTCCGTGAACTCGTTCTGCCACTTCTATTATTGCTCTAATCTGTCAGTATTCGATCTATCGATCTATCTTCAAATTATTGTTACGACGATATCTACGCCATACGTTCAGAAAACATATGGGCATCGAGAAGTAACTAGAGGTGATGTAGATTTGTTACAATAAAAAAGATGCAATATAACTTTAACCTCCATGTACTTTACACATATTTTTTTGGTTTGTTTATTTAATTTAATTACTGCAATCAAAAAATTATAAATCGAAATCTCATAAATAAAGTAGCCAAAAGAAAATTTTGTAAGTAGCCAAATTAGTAGCCAGAGTAGCCAAATGAAAATTTGTAAGTAGCCAAATTAGTAGCCAGTAGCCAAATAAAAATTTTTATTGTCTTTGCCATTTCTATTGAAACACCATCTGTTGATTTTTCTTAAATTTAGCAATTGGTATATATCTAATAGTACTATATTGCTAACTGGCCTCAAAAGAGTCCGAAAACATAACGACAGAGCAATATATCGGACCTCTCTGTCTTTCTGTGGCACTAAACACTACTAAACAGTACTGCGCATACACTCGTACTTGCTTGATTTGTAGTCGATAGCGTGATTGGATGCGTTTTGACATTTCGTACTTTCGTTTCTATTTTGTGTATATGCGCACATACCCTCGGTACTCTTATAGACAGAAAATAACATCTTCTGTCTTTCTCTGTCCGTGAACACCGTTTCTAAGTTTCTATCACGGAGGTAGAAGAGACCGGAGGGAGCGTACCGTATGCTAGCAATGTAACGATTCTGGCATCGTTCAAGACCCGGTCAGACACCGGTTATGATCTTATTTGAACAAGGCCCCAATATTTGCCAGCCCGACGCAAACGCGCCCCTACACTCAACAGCTGACAGGGTTTGGATTTCCAGTGGCGTACTATCACGTAACACGTGCTGTTTATATGCAATTGTTCGTTCTTGAGTTTGAGTTTAGTTGTGCTGTTTTAGTTTTGGACGTGTTGTTGGTGTTTTTAATTTGAATAGACTTTGATTATAACTAAAGATCATAATAACATTTAGAGACTTATATATAAGGTAGTCAACATAAAATATGTTGCCCCGCCACTGGTTACGACTGCTAAACATTTAGAGGGTGGAGCTTAGTACAGCGCGCATTTCAAGTAGGGTCATAAACGGTGCCTGAGTCTGTGTCACAAAATCCACGACACCTTCCCTCCGGTCTCTTCTACCTCCGTGGTTTCTATGTTACTTCTGAAGAGTTAGCAATATAGTAGTATTAGATACATATATGGCAATTGGTAACAGCTTTCGGTTGATTGACAACGGCTTTTAAAATAAAAAATGTAGTTAGAAAATTGTCTGAATATTAAACGTGGCCAAATTTACGATTAACAAGTGGTGTTTCAATAGAAATGGCAAAGACTATAGGCGCCATTTACTTTAAAAAGTAGCCAATTTGGCTATAAATAGCCACATCAGGCAACACTACCAGGAGCCTAAAATTTGGTTGGCGAACATGTCATCAGAGGGCGCTTGATGGCATTTCATTCAATAACATTGCAGTTGTGTGGTTGCAGTTACCTATTTGTATAGCAATTATTTATTACTTATTACATGCTAATTAGAATGTTCTCTGATGCTAAGAATAAATGGGTTTTAGATTAATAATAAATAAACTTAACAAATTTCACACAGTTTACAAATGTTGTCAATTTAGTGATTTGTGATTTGTTGGTTATGTTAATCTGTCAAACATTCCCTTGTTAAAAAATATATTTGACTGAATACATTTGTGCAAATAAAAAAATATGTTGCCCCGGTGCTACCTATTAGCTAAGCATGTATGTTACAAAGCTGCAATCCCAAACTGTGAAAAGACTGGTTCAGTTACCATAAGTAAGATAGACTCATGGCCATCCGATGATCACATTCACTGTGTTCCAACGTATTTTTCAGATATAGCTGTAAGAAAATTAGGTTTATTACACAGAAATACACATGCACTTCCAATAAATTATATACCGTCAGGTACACGAACTTTCATGGGGAGTCCGAACTTATTTAAAAAAAAAGAACCAGGTAAACCACAGGATGAAAAAGAAGCAACCAGTAGTAAAGTAGAAAGTAGTACATCAGTTCAAAAAGAAACACCAGTACTTAAAATAATAGCCCCTGAATTAAAATCGGATAGTGCTGATCCTAAAACAAAAGATAAAATTGTATTAGATAATGTTATGGAACAGAGTTTAGAACAAGTAGAAAAAACAAAACCAATTTTGTCATCTGAACCAATGAAAAAGTTAAAAGAGAAAATTATTGGTATTAGTACAGAAAGCACAAGTGAAGAAGGTGTCTATCGTATGGGCAGAAGTTTGAAAATAGTATGTAATTGTTTCTCTTGTTGTAGCTAAACCACAAGTGAAGAAAAGAAAACGTGTTGATTTATCAGCACAATCTTTAGAGAGAAATTTTATTACTCCAGTTAGAGCAATGTCTGATTTCTTGTTAAAACCATCGGACTTGGAGTCATTACCAAAAACTAAAAGGCGATCTCCCTATGAAAATGAACCACCAATTACTGTGTATTGGCGTAAGGATGTTGAAGCTAAGTCTCTAAATATTTGGGGCTCAAAAGAGAATTTACAAAAAGAACTTATCAAAAGAGACATTGAAAGAAAAAAATATCAACAAAGTATTTTACTAAGGAATTTAGAATGAAAAAGTATAATTAAATCGTTGTAGATATTTTTACTATGAAGCGACGATTACGTGACTATAGGCGAGAACTGGGTAAATCAGCCAACATAGAAATTGATGGTGGTATTATGGGAAGATCAGGCAGAGTGGTATTAACAGCTATTGCTATGTAATTATTTCGATTCTATTTTCCCACTTTTAATTTCTTTTGTTATAGTAATGGAACCAATTGTTTGTTTAAATTATTTGCTTGGTTGTATACAGGCTCACACAGCATGTTTTCTGAGTGCATCCATTCATTAGCAGATACGATAAATCAGTTGATTTTGGCATATGGAATTCATAAATCTGTCCAAGTATGTTATTTTGCATGGTGTATTTAAAATTTCACCTCCCCTTTTAGGTTGCTGATGCTAACCATCCGTATGGATATTCAAACATGAAATATGTAGCGTCCCTTATTTCAGGAGTGGGAATATTTTGTGTAGGTACTGGACTTTCAATATACCATGGATGTTCAGGACTGATTAGACCAGAGCCCATAGATGATTTCTTTTGGGTACATTTGTGCAAATTTCATGTTATAATGTAAATCTTTTAATCTTTATTGTTATTTTAGGCATATTTTATTTTAGGGGGATCTTTAGTTTCAGAAGGTGCAACTTGGTTGGTTGCTTACAACTCTATCCGAAGAGGAGCTCGCAATATGAATGTTCCCGTAAAAGACTATAGTAAACCTCATATCTCTACATTCTGTATGTCTGTTACTGTATGTATACTTTTTTAGTTTTGCGTTCGCAAGATCCAAGTGTAAATGTTGTTTTGTTAGAAGATTTTGCTGCAGTTGTAGGCGTGATAGTTGCTGGAGGTTGCATGAGTTTGGCTTCACTTACAGGTAGTTCGATACCAGATGCTATTGGGTCTCTACTTGTTGGATGTATCTTGGGTTCAGTTGCGTCTTTTATTATTTACACTAATGTGGCTGCCCTCGTTGGCCGGTAATATAAAGTTTTGAGGAAAAATTGTTCCATAATTTTGTTGTTTTAGTTCAATACCAGAAGAAAATTTAGACAAAATAAATGGCGAATTAGAAACTGATATAATGGTAAGGGCTATCCATGATGTCAAAGGAATTGACATGGGAAATTATTTAGTAAGATATAAAGCTGAATTGGATTTTGATGGGCGTGAATTAACTCGAAGTTATTTGGACAAACAAGATTTAAACAAGTTGCTTGAAGTATTTATTTTTTTTTTTTTTGTAAACTGTAATTGTGATTTTTTGGATTTTAGGAGGCTAGAAAACTGCAAAATATTGATCAGTTTGAAGAATTTATGTTGAAACATGGAGAAAATATTGTGGATATGATGGGAGGGGAAATTGATAGAATTGAAATGAAACTAAGGGTAACACCATGTTTGATATTTAAAAACAATATTAGTTTCTTTTTTTTTTCAGAAAAAGCATCCTGAGATTAGACATTGTGATTTAGAAATTCTTTAAGCATAGGATATAACAGTTAAATAATTTCCTTTTATATTGTCTTGTAAAATAAACAGCAACAGTATTTATTTAATAACAAATACCAAATCTTTTTTTGTAATTTATTTGAATTACTATAGATATATAAGTGGTGATTTCCTTTATTTGTGACTAACGGAACGTTCTTTATTTGAGTTTTTAACTCGTAAGAAATAAAATGTTAAAGAGTTTCATGTTTTTTTTCCAAGATTCGAATCTGCGCAATTCTCTTCAAGTAACCAGTTAGCAGTTTTATGTACCAAAATGTTTGTACACCATTTCTTAGAAAATGATTTTTCGCGAATGTAAATATTTGTCGAAAATTATAGACTTCAGTTTTGTTTCACTTAACCAAAATGCAAGTGTAAACAGAATGAATACTGCCATCATTTCTGCGCATAATCAATACTGGTTGCCTAGATCCATCTAGTTAACGCCATTGCCCTTTAGAAAACCGTCTGAAAGTAAAAAAATTTTAATTACAAAGAAAATTCGTATTTCCTGTGTTGTGTTAAACCATGTAACTGTTAAATTATTGTGCCGTTTACATTTGACATACTCAGTGTGATATGAGGCCTAAAACGTAAGTACGAACCAATTTTGCACTTAAAAAGAAAATTTTTGTAAGTGCGAAAGCGAAATATTTATAATAATAATAATTAGTGAGAAAAACTGTAAGCGTTGTTTCTTAAAAGAATACACTTTTTCAATTAGGATTATTTTCTGCAACTAAAAACAATAAGGTATTTTTAGACCGCTGACATTCAATTTGCATATGTACTATAAAATCAATTTCGAAATTTTAAAGAATTGCTTTGAAAAAAGTATAATCCACTCCGCATGGTACTTTTTTTTTATCATATAGCCATCGTATATCGCGATTGTGTAGGTGTATGACGTATTTTAGTTACCAAATCAATATCGTCTCGGTCCTTTCCGTCGCGACGCTCACTATATGACTCAGAACATAGTATTTGGCCAACTGTGCTACTGATTGTATTTACCATGGGTGCGTTTCCAGTTTCTTACATTTTCATTCAAAATAGACCATGAAAATTACAAGTAATATGTTCCTTTTTCTCCAGGTAGGCCTAACAAGTTTTTTTTAATAACTAAAACAAAAATACATTATTACTTTTTATAATAAAACATATATTGGTTGTCGACATTTTTCGTAAAGGCAGTAGCCTCAGTTGTCACTATAAACGTTGTATTCGGTAGTACAAAAACTTATATCTGTGAGTGTAAGAAAAATGCCTTGAAAATGAATGAAGTGGTACGGTAATAAGCATATTCACTTTCAGAAATTTTCAATTTGACATATAAAAAATAGAAACTCACAAGTGGAGCTATCTTTTTCTACATATCTTTCGTCATAAATGTTTGTTTCGTACTTAAAATAAATAAATAGCATATCTATTGTGAACACCATTAATCATCAGTTTTTATACTTAAAATTAGGTATTTTAAATTTGATAAAATACTGAGCGATTTAAAAAATCCTCCAGAGTCCAGATACTTATATCAGTTTATTAAATATGTACAGCCGTTATATTCATTTCATTTAATTGGTTACTGATAATTCTCAAACATTTTAATAATATAAACAGCATACTTTTTGTTATGCTATATAAGCTATCTAAACTCTACACTACAGACTTTTATTGTTTGTTCAACGTTTTTACTGAGAACAGGGTTTTCGCATCGTGGGAAGGTACCTACTTATATAAAAATAATTTTTAAACTTTATTAACAAAGTAAAAAGCTAACTTTTAGAATCAGTTACAAAGATCCAATTACTTAGTTAATATTACCGTAACTCATTAGTAGAATCTGGATAGAATTCCGAAATTTTCCTGAAATATGCATACTTTTTTTACATAATGCATGGTTTTCAACATTCATTGCGATTTTAAGTGAAAAAAATATTACTTTCATTACGACTGATACTTAAAACACTGCATATTTTTACAAAAAAACAAAGAAATATTTTTTATATAAATTTGGTGCAAAAAATGTTAAATTATATAAATTATTAATTGATTTTGTAACTTATCATCTTTTTTCGTCAATGCAAATTAGTTCTGGATTATCTTTAATCCTGCCAAATCAGGGAATACATTTTCTTCTTTCGGCATTTTTTGAATATTGACACTGTTTTATGAGACGCTTACATACAAAAGAATAAATAATTTATTTCATCTCTTTTGCCAAGTACCTACATACCAATCCCACTTTTACCTGATCATAAAAATATTAGTCGTGACGGCCAGTCGCTAAGTTTTCTGCATGGAATTTTTGATAGATTTTCAGAATGTAATATCTCAATTATTAACTCAGACTTATGATTGTGAAATTTTAAATATAATCTGTGCACAACTTTCTGTATATAACGCAAGGGAAGCTTTGTTTAAAACAGTTTGTGATCACCCTCTTTTTTTTAATTTGAGTGAGATTTTTGGAAAAGGTATCTTTAAAAATCAATACCTATCTCAATTATTTATGGAAATTTCGGAAAGCGGTTTCCAACACTGTTTTCAGATTACAAAACTCCAGAAATAGTACCACATATACTGTCGACTTTTTTGTTAGAAACGAGATATAAAAAAGCTTCCGTCGTAGAAGTTACTAGACACTTGTTTTTATTTTATTTCAGTTTTAACAAATAAAGTCGAAAATATATCCTGTACGATTTTACAGTTTTATAAACTGTAAGCAGTGGCAGAAACCGCGTTCCAAAATTTCTAGAAATAATTGAAATATTGTTTTTTTTAAATACGTGATCCAAAAATTTCAAGAAAATTTAGGAAATATATGATAATAAACTGTTTAAAAACTGCCCTTGCATTATATAATGAATAATGTATGTTACGGAAGTCCGCCTTAAACTGACATGTGAAAAAAATTTAATTAAAAATAAACCTGCGAAAATTTGAAAGGTGGCTGTGAACGGTGATCGTCAACAAGATGGGATCCTACGTTGTGTTTTCAAATGGTGGAATGCCTTCTAATGCACATGGTGGGTCGGAAAGGTGGAAAAGTTACCTTGATTTTACGACACAAAAATATAACGTGAAAAAAATTATTAATTTCTTTCAAAGGGCTGCATTTTTTCAATTATCAAATTTACTCGATCTTTTCAAATTCCAGATTACAAATTTCGTTCACATAAACACAGCATGTTAAATGTACATAATTCTCTAGTTTGTACCATTTTATCTAAAATGAATGGATGGCAGTGTACACATTATTGTGGTGGCGTGTTGGCAGTTTTTTTTTTTTGTATTCAGAAGACAAAGAAACGATTTAATTCAACAATTAAAGAAACGTGGAACGTGTAAAGCTAATGGTTTCAGACCCTGTCTTTGACTGTCTCTTCGCACTAACCACAGCTACATACAACCATGCTTCGGTGTTCCCACATGCCTCCGCTATGCCTACTGTGTTTGCTGGCGCCTGCGTCAGCTATTTCAAGTTGTATTCCGCAACTATACTCCATCCCTCGCGTGACAAACAAAGCTGGCTACCCCTAGCAAAGTTTCCTCTCCCAGCAGGACATCTTCCGAATATCTTACGTTGGCGGAATCCGGTATTGCGAATAAACAGTCATATGAATGAAAGAAAAATTATCAATCTGGACTTGGGCCGAGCTCCGCTCTCGCCACCCGTATTTAATTACCCAAAATTAATGAATTAAGACTACGTCGTGAATCGAATTCCTCCATCACATATATACATAAACACATGTTAAATATGGTCGAAAACAGAAAATGTTGTTCGGCATACATGTCGTCCGAGTATAAACGTTTCAAAATTAAAGTCATAAAACACATAAAACATAACACAAAATCAGCATAAAATCCCCTTTCCCCCTTCGAATCCACGACGACATGTACTTCACTGCTAATTTTAAAAAGAATTAAAGCTTAAAATTAAATCCCCTTAGATATTTTACAATTTAAACTATTACTTATTTCACCTGAATACAGTTGCTTATTTTTTCGGTGTCATACAAAAAAAGAAAATGTATAATTTCGAAAGATTGCATGAAATAAGATAACAATTCAAACTGTTAAAAGGTGTTGAAGTGGTGACCGCAGTAACCGCAGGTAGGTACAGTCTGTAGAAAGTATTCCTATACTGTATTATTTTTTTACGGAAAACATGGAAATATGCGCGTTTTTGCGAAACATGCAAAAAAAAAGAAAAAAATAATATACATGCACTATGCATTTTGCATAGAATAGTAGAATCTACTCATCAACAAAGAAATTTTATTTATCCCAAGTAAGTACTCCTACTAATATTATTAAAGATACTAAGTACTATGAACAGTAATTACAATTAAAACTAAAAAAGAAAGAGGCAGAGAGGTAAAATATTACAATCCCTCACTGTGGTAATAAGGATAGTACAAATAGATGTTTAAACAATAAATTGGGACCATACCGTAGAATGAGCTTATATTCTAAGTGGCTAGGACTTTTTGGTGTAAAATAAACCTAACATGAAATAACTAAATCATAAATAATCAAAAAAATTGTTGAGTTTTACCCACACCGATTTTAATACCCTAACAACGTAACAATATTATATAGTAATCCACGATACCGCTTTTCTCAATTTGACTTGGTAAAATTAAATTTTTCAAAATGTATTCAAATGATGAGAAAAGTGGATTTGACACTGATTTATGGTGAATGCAGGAAAATGCTTTACGGACTGCACGTTTATGTAGAGAACATTTTCTGGGTAGACGAGCTCCGGAGAATACTATTTTCAAAAGGTTTAAGAGTATTTTAAGAGAAAATTGGGCACCTTTGAAAAGAAAACGAGACAGAACAGCTACGAGCCCAAAATATGAACTTGCTGTATAGAAACGAAATCTCAAGAGCAATTGGTATTATTCAATCTTCAGTAAGCAGAATGATTAAAGGCAATAAAAACAAAATGTGAATCAAAATTTTTATAACAATGTTCTTTTCTCGATGAGACTGCATTTTCTAATAAGGGTGGTGTTAACAAGTAGGTACAGTCTGCATTACTAGCTATGCGCTGTGCGCTAGAAAACCCTGGATGGATTCGCGAAGAGCATTTGCAAACTGTGTACTCAACGAATGTTTGGTGTGGAACAGTAGGAAATCAGATTGTTGGTTCTAATTTTTTTCTGAACAAGTTAACAGGAATTAGATACTTGCATTTTTTTTTGAACTGCTTTAACACTGCTACTAGAAAATGTGGATTTAGAAACTAGAACCAATTTGTGGTTTCAACAGGACGGTGGGCCGTGTCATCATAGAATCGTTCGGGATTACTTTGATATGATTTTACCTAGTAAGTGGATAGGAAGAGATTCCCTCAATCCTTTGCCACTGCGAAGTCCAGGCCTTACGCCCTTGGATTTTTTCTATGGGGCGCAGTTAAAGAGCAGGTGAATCAAACTCCAGTTGATAGTATTGAACATTTGAAAAATAATATAGGGAATGCGTGTAAATCTATCATTTCAGAGACAAAAATGACTCAGGAGGTCATTTTTAACAACTTCTAAATTACAAGAGGTCAGTATTTTGAAGATGTATTACA